GTGTGTGTGTGTGTGTGTGTGTGTGTGTGTGTGTGTCTGTGTGTGTGTGTGTTTACAATTCATTGTAATTCATGGTGATTCGACATGTATCCATAAATAATATTTTGTCAATAACAGTCATAACTGGTGACTGAAGTGGAGATAAAGAGGTTCTCACTTATCAACATTCTGTTTATACTCTTATGATTTTCCTATCAGCCGACACTGGCACAGACTTCACTTAAAAACGTTATTTATATCGGTGACGGTATCTTTTTATAACAAGTTTATTAGAATACGACAAACGTGTGTTGTTATCCAGTGAGTGGGACGTTGTTCTGTGGAGGGAGTGGAGCCGGAAACCAAAAGAGGTCTGGGACCTCCAGCGTCCAATCAGAACCACACAGTTCTTCCTAACAAGGATTGTGCTAATGTAAATAACTATTATGGTACTAACAATAATTAATAAACAAATACAAGTACAAGTGGTTTTGGTAAATTAATAGTTTTACTGTGAGCTCTAGGTGTCATAAAAACTATTAATGGGTAACTTCTCTTTGATAATTTTTCCAGCCAGACTGAACTTTGTCTCTTCCTACCTATTTTATTAACTTATAATCAATCATAATTAAGTTGATAAATGTGACATGAACCTGCACTTGACATACAGGTCCACATGACGTCTACACATGTCTTTCTAAGACAAATTTAGACATTTATTGCATGAGGCAGACCACATAAAACTGTAAAAATAATGAGCTTTAGTTTTTACATCTTTGACAGAAACTGCTGTTGCATTTTCAACTAAAAGAATCATGTGCAAAGTCAAATGTTAAATTATAATACATGTTTATATTACAATAAGAATTGTCAAATGAGTTATATTCTAATTAGAAAACATCTATAGCCACGGCTAATATTCGGAATATAATGAGTAAAAAACCCATTTTTTGTTTTAAACTGCTGAACAGAGATTGACTGTACAACTTTAGCTGCGTCTGTTTTGGGGATTTAAAAACAAACATAATTTCCTGTTTAAAAACCATCAAAATAACACAGAGAATGTAAAAGCGTGTGTGGTGTGGTTGAGGAGTGGATGTGTGCCAAAAGCCAGGTTGATGATTCATTCCTCAGCTTCCCACATGTGGAGGCGTCCTTGAGCAGATACTGAGCTGCACATTGCCCGTAAAGTGATGCTTTCATCATAAGCGAGTGGGTAAGAGGTGGTGGAACGAGCATAACGACTCCCACATTCTATGAATTTGAGCCTGGATGTGTGTAAATGCTTTTTACAGGGCAATGACATTACAGAAACTATAAAACAAACGTTTAACTGGTAACAGACAGCTGATAAGTTATCAAAGAAAGACTCATTCTTCTTAGAAGAAATAAAACAAACTATTTGAACTTACAGAAGTGAACATGATTAAAAAGACTGTTTCTCAAACAGTCAGAAGTGGAGCTTTAAAACCAATAAGAGAAACTTTTTGGGGCTCAGAAATTCTGGGTGGCCTTATAAATGTGACCCTGAGTGATATATTAAATGAAGATGATAACAGGTCTTGGAAACCTTTTTAGAGTCTGTGACACAATCCTCCAAATAAATCTGAATAGGCAGAAAGGGCCTATTCAGATTTATTTATTTAGGCCTAAGGTTCACTGTGAGGCTCCTCAGGGTTACCTGTTAGGACCCACGCTTTTTACACTGTGTGAGCTTCTCCCAGCATCGTTAGGGGGTCGGACATTTCTGTTGGACTTTCCAGTCATATGCATGATATCCAGCCTAAAACACAGCAGGACGAACCAAATGGATGAATAAAACTACACATATTCACATAAATGAGCAGGTTTCCTAAAGATGACGTTCTTTACGTTTTCACAGAAGAGCAGCAAACACATTTCAGTTCACAGTTTCTGTCTTTTTTCGGTGTTTGGTGTCAGAAAATGATGCACCGGACCCCAAAACCAGAGGCTCTTCTCCAGGTTCAAGAGTAAACTAGAGAGAGAAACTTTATTGATCTCCAAGGAGAAATTGACTGTTGACTTTCATCTTTGTTATTCTACCTTCAAAGAATAAACACCGACTCTCTCCCTCTTTGAAAAACGAAACTCCAAACCCACCTGTTTAACATTTCTTACCCCCCTAACTCTGACATTCCCCTCATTCCGCACAGTGTTGTTCATTCCATTTTATTTCATTCATTTACTATGTTTTTATTTATGATGCATTTATGACTTTGTATGTTTTCTTTCTAAAGTGTCCTTGAGTGGCATGAAAGGCGCTTTTTAAAAATAACATTTATGATTATTATTATTATCCCTTACTCACCTACTTTATTACGCATTACAAATAACCGTTTGATGTTTGGCACTAAATGGCACGTGATAAAGTTTCAAACTGATAAAGTCCTCAATAACATAGCACCTTTAAAGCTAATTCAGCCGGTGGGTCGATCGATATGGAAGCTCAAAAGGTGACCAAACCTAAAAAAAAACAATGAGGAATCCAGACGTGTGGAATTTGTGGGCTCAAGGAAAAGATTTCCTCAATGTGAGGAGACACGTTGTCTTTGTATCGTATGTTTAATGTTTGATTGAATTGGCTTAGAATATAAGAATGGGGCAGAGTGCACCTGTTAATCTTGAACCGAATCAGTAGAAGATCATAAACTGGTTTCTATCTCGCTATGAGCTTGAGTTAAACACTCAGTCTGACTTCCCCTTTAGATCACGCAGCATGAGGCTGGTACTTCCCAACCCGGGCCTGGAGCTCCGGATCCACAGCTATGAAGACCTGGAGAGGATGGAGAAGGAGGAGACTGGAGACAGGCCCAAGTGGGACAACAAGGCCCAGTACATTCTGACCTGTGTGGGCTTCTGCATCGGAATTGGAAATGTGTGGAGATTCCCTTATCTGTGTCAAAGTCACGGAGGAGGTAAGCTGAGAAACACACGTTAGGCGTGAGATTGGGGGGGTTTGCATCTACTATTTTAGATTTAGATTTTTTTTTTTATTATATCAGCCAATAGATACTTCTCTATTAGTCTTTCCTACACAAAAGAATGAAAAAATAAAAAAATACTCAAAAGCTAAATCTCAGAGCACAGGTCTGAAAAATGTCTGTTTTCTTTTTGACAGGGCAGAAACTGAAATTATCGATGGTATAAGCAATGAAATTATCCTGTTCAGCAGCGACAAACAATTATTATTATTAAGCTTTGATGTATAGGAATAAAAGAACAATACTCCATTGTAATCACCTGATACTGACATTGGTTTTATTTCCTGATGAAGAACTCTAATAAGACTTACTGCTGTGTAACATGGCATAAACATGAAACAGATTCATAGACTCCAGCTCCCCATGACCAACTTGGAATAATTATGTAAAGAGCAAATGGATGGTTTAAGTTTATTTTTTAAGTATCTGTGATAATGAGATTTGGTTAAATTGATAGTACAGGGGTACACTAAGTTTGGACCAATGTTTTGCATTCAAAAGATGCAAACAAACATTGAGCCAGAAAATGAGCCAAAAACAACAAGAAATTATATATCCAACAGCCAAGAGACAAACTAACTACAAAGTTGTGCAATAACAAATTAAAAACACTTATGGACAATAAAGGCTCTCCAACCAATGAAAATTGTACGTAAGATTACAATAACAACACCTAAAACATCTAAAATGGGCTATAAACACCTAAAAGAATTGCATAACCGCCAGGATTACTCAAAACACCCATCCAGAGAGGCCCCTTAAAACATCTATAATGGACAATTCAAACCTTTAAAATGACCACAGTAGAATTTTCAAGGGGTCAAAAACAAAAAGCAACACATTTACCTAACTTAAAATGCAAAAATAGTTTTTGTTTTTTTACTACATTGTCTGTGTTTGGGAGATTACATAATTCATAAACAACCCAAAAAACAGATCTGAGGCCTGAACTAGCTTAACCCTTTAAAACCTGATCCAAGAATAAAACAAAACAGAAAATTACTTTTTGGGGGTTTGAATTCCTTATTTGGCCTTTTAACAAAATATGTAAAAAGCAAAAACAGAAATAGATTTTTGATATTAATAATTTATTACTATGCGATAAGTCCAGATTATTTTTTGTGTAGTCTTCTGCCCCCTGTTATCAGGTGTATCTGATTGTGTACAATAGGATTTAGAGCAAAGTTTTTACCATTAAATTATGCAAAAGGGGTCAGACGCAAAACATATGTATCAAATGTACCGTATGTATCAAATATAACACATTTGGCATTACAGGGTTAAGGGGCAAGCCTATTCTGAGTAGTTATAAGTGTTCCTGACCCTCTTCAGGAGCCTTCCTGATCCCGTACCTGATCCTGCTGGTTCTGGAGGGAATGCCGCTCCAAATTAAAAACACTTATGGACAGGAAAGGCTCTCCAACCAATGAAAATTGTACATAAGACTGCAATAAAAACACCTAAAACAACAAAAACGGCCAATAAACACCTAAAAGAATTGCATAACCGCCAGGATGACTCAAAACACCCATCCAGAGACGCCCTTAAGACATTAAAAACGTCTATGATGGACAATTCAAACGTTTGAAATTGAAAAACAAAAAGCAAGACATTTACCTAACTTAAACTGCAAAAAAAAATTTTTATTTTTTACTTTGTCTGTGTTTGGGAGATTACATAATTCATAAACAACCCAAAAACAGATCTGAGGCCTGAACTAGC